GCATGAAGGACGAGATTTAAAGTGATCGTAAAAATATTAGCACGTGAATCTAAGACGGCTGCTAAAAGTTTTTTAGAGGCATTGATTTATGCTAGTAACTCACAAGTCAATTGAAAAGAAAAATGCCTCGCAATCACCGATAATCATTATCTAAATCGGCGTTTAGTGGAGGCGGCCTTTTTATGTGACTCCTATACCAATTTGAAGAGCAATTAAGAATGATTCTTAATCTGTCTTTATTATCTGCTAAACGCTTCTGGAGGCCGAGTTGTGAGCTTTCTTCTGAAAATTTGATCACGCAACTTGAACAATCCCGTCCATAATTGTAAAATGATCCAGACTTAATTATCAAAGCACTTCACTCAGTAGGCAGAAAAAAGTCGTACGCAATAGGGTGCTTTAGGTCCGAGCAGAGCCGGTATGCCAGCTAGTTCTCCAATAATTCAACGCGTGTACAACCTTGGTTTCTTCGAAGCAGGTTGTGGCTAATGCTCATGTCTAACTATCAAGTCCTAGCTTCTAACGAGGTTCATTAGGCCACTCTGCTTAACCATACTGCAAATAGGTGGTAAAATTGGTGAGCACATTTATATACGAGTATGGTAAACGAGGAGGCAGGTTATGTAGTACACATCGGATGGCAAATGACGGATTCTTTCGATACCATCTAGGCCCTGGACTTCACTAAACATCGATACTCTTTGGGTTGAACCGTAGTGCCAAAGGTCCTGTCCGTGGTAGGTGGAGCAATATGGTCCACGCACGAGAGCTAGAATTAAGTTACCGTGAAAGATGTTGGCAATATGTATCCGTTGATTCAACCAGATAGGCAGCTGGGAGGCGGGGTCTCGTGACCTCGTTAAGGCTAGAGAGTGACCAAAGAGCATGCGCGTGGGAGAGAGGCAGATGCGGCGCGGGTGAGAGAGGTCGCCCCTGCCGCCTATTCCATTGAATCAAAGAATACGTTCAGGACTTCCTCACCTTGAAGCGGTTCAGCAGATTTGCCATAAAAAGAAATAACTCCATTTTCGCTAGTCCTTCACCCAAACATTGCCGCTTGCCAATAGAAAATGGTATTAATTCGTCCACCTGCGGGGACATTAGACTTTTCTGGATTTAAAAAGAAAAATCAAAGAGTAAGTTACTTTCTTCAGCTTGCCATTGCTGTCGATGAACCTTGAAGGGTTGAAGCTCAGCGGATCAGGAAATACCTAAGAGAGCTCGGATTCTTGAAAAAAAATCAAAAATTTTCATTTTGTCTACCTCTTCATCGTAGAGAACGCTGCTTATTTGAGCGATGACACCGGTTTTTGCTGGAATGTTCCATTTTCCGATACAAACGTCTCGCACTGTTTCGTGGGGTAAATTCATTGGAAGGAGGTTGGCTATTCGTTGAACTTCCTGGAAAATTCGTGAGGTAAGTTCATTGGCAGAAGATTAGCTATCCTTTGTACTTCCTGGAAAATTTGTGTGTTTGAGATAGAATAAGCACATCTGTCGCAATCTACAGTGAAGGTTGGAAGTTCAAAGAATTCCTAGGAAATTTGCCATGCATAACTCAAAAGAAATCTGAGCTCGAGAAAAGTTCAACTCTGTTTTCGATTCATGAGTGCTGGATAAAGTATAAAGTTCAGCATGGATTCCGTGGCAAAAGTTACTCGGTACTTTATGCCTAGAAAATTTTGAGCGTAGAATTTTCCACACATGAAAATTTGAAAATCCCTCAATACCATAACTT